TCCTCTCCATCTGTGACTGACACTGAACCAGAACCGGATTTTGGGGAACAGGGGCACATGAACACCTGTTTGCCTTCAGCCGCATTCCACCGTCATGTTTTATGTAGGAGCCTGATGCATTATTCATGTGCTGGAGGGAGAGGCGGGACTGCTCAGGTACATATGCTGGGGGTTATAAATGTCCAGCCATAAAAATGTGTTGCCCTTATTTCACTTGAGACACAGAAGAGAGAGAGGGCCTTGGGTAGCTCTTTCAGGGGCATTTCTCACCCACAGCTCAATCATGAATAATGAGGTGTTGGACATCTCCATCACACCTTAGCACAACAACAGATGCTGAGTCTAAACTTAAATGAGTCTGGGGAGCATAGCTCAAACCATCACAGCATCTACAAGATGAAATTTGTTATATTATTAAAGCTTGCTGGCAGGGCAATATTACCAAATGGGCCCTGGGGCCCTAGAATTCCAGGGACCCCAAATGGCGAGACACTCCCCGTTCTATTTGCCTCATGTATTTGCACTAGACCCTGATTTGTAATGAAGAGCTTTAATCTAAGACTGCCAACCACACCTCTGGAAGAGCACTTCCATTTTTCTTTTATGATGACATAGGAGGTGACCCTCTTGAAAATAAAACAAGACCAAAAAACTACCCAAATGAAGCACCACATGCTATTAAAAGGGATACTCCACCAAAAAAAAAAAAAAAAAAATCTCATAATTTACTCACCTTCATGTCGTCCCAGATATATATGACTTTCTTTCTTCTGTGGAGCACAAACAGAGATTTTTTGAAAAAATACTCCATCTCTGTGAGTCCATATTATGTGAGTCCATATTATCTCAGGACCTACTCATTGTCGAAATCATACTCTAGATTTAATACTGTCACATGGAATTGATGTTGATGGTGTTGAAATTATGCAGCCAAGCGATGATATCTCAGATCATTATTTAGTCTTGTGCAAACTTCATATAGCTAAAACTGTAAGGAACTTAAAGTTGAAGTCCATACGACCCCAGTTGATGAATAAATGTCTTCTGAAGCGAAACGATAGGTGTGTGTGAGAAAAATACTGTTATTTTGAACTTTTAAAAAATATACATCTTTCCCACCCGCCAACTTTTGTTCTTCTGTGGAACATGAACACAGATTTTTAGAAAAAATTTTTTTTATCTCTCTAAGTCCATAAGTGACTATTTTTTTTTCAAATAATTCAACATGGCTTTGGTATAATAATACTGGGTGGGTTCCAATTTTATTTAGAATTGGTTAATATAGAGATAAATCAAGTAAACACAAGCTTACGGACATTACTGAAGGAATCCCTACATTTATTTTTCTGTCTTCTTAAGTTGTGAGTTTATTATGTGAGATTTGATTTTGTGTAATAACCAGTACCAAAGCAAACAGCATTTTTCCGAAAGAAATCGATTGAGCACATTCACACAGTCAGCAGTATTACAGCCTCACAATGAGATTCATTGCAAGTTGGTCCAAACGATTATAAATGCCAACTTAAACTGATTCACTCTCCCTGTGTTTCTATGATTGGTTGTGTATGTGAGTGTGTGTGTGCAGAATGCCTCTCAAACGGCTTATAAACAATCAAGTGCGACCTTTGCGAGAGGAGGCGGGCAAATAACGGATAGAATGTGCTAATTCAATTAAGCAATTTGAATAATTGCCTCGGTCAGTGTTCTGGATTGAGCCTATAGCTCAAACGTCCTTGAGATAAATTAAAAGCCAAAATAATTATAAAGCTGGAAGGGGGAGGAGTTCACTGTAGAACAAAACAATGAATCTAGCATTTCTCATGGAATGAAATACCCTATTCGCAAATTTAGCTTATTAGCACACATGCTGAGGCTAAGCACGCAACTTTTGTTACGGATTGCTGTGGAGGGTGTCACAGAAGTATTGTGGTCTTCATAAATAGGTGTTGAGTTGGCTGAAGATGGTGCCCTGGAGGCTGAGGTGTCCGTTGGAGCTTAGCTGAGCGTTCTGTTGTGTTGCTCGGCTAGCGTGATGAATACGCTGCCGTATTCACCTTCTATTCTCTCCGATTTCAGCGTAACACAATAGAAGGATTTATGAACACGGACAAAAAAAAACAAAAAAAAAAAAACGCAGAAAGCTTCTGGCTCGAACAACACGCTTTAAAGCCTGCAGCTGAAATCTAGGTTACGGACTGAGTCCACCATTTTTAACTGCACACACAATGTTCTCATTTTTGGTCTCTCTCACTGTCTCTGCCTGTCTGTCTACCCGATTAATTTAGGCTGTCTGTCTGTTAGACTGAGTCGGATTTGAGTTATTAAAGGCTGTTCCATGTGCTCTTTCTCCCGCAAGCATGCAGGGGCAACTATTCCCTCTAATTAGAATTACTCTCATGCAGGGTTGTGCTTTCTCTGGCCACAAACACCCAGTAGCCCCTCACTGCAGAACACAAGATCAAGGGGCCGTGGTTGGATCCACATCTAGGGGCTGGAGATTGGTAGGTTTAGGGATCAGGGGGTGGAGACGGGTAGGTTTAGGTATATTTAAGGTGGGAGGAGTTGGATCTGGATCCAACCTGTTCTGCTCTGTAGTGTGCCAGTTTTTGGCATTGTATGGTGTGTCACTATGTTTCTGGATGTCAGACAGAGAAAAGACATCATGCCCACTTACAATTTGGATGGTTTATGTCGGAAAAGAGAGAATGAGAGTTTGACGTGTGATACATCAGTGTGTTTGTGCATGTGTCTGTGTACATGTGTATGGCAAAAGAAGAAGACAGTGATGAAAATACAAGCAGAACTGATTGCATGCTCTGGGGATCATGTTCCAGTTTGATCCTGTGCTGCATGCTAGTGTTGGCTAAACAGGTGCACTGCTGCCACCTAGAGGCTATGTTCGAAATAGCATACTTGCATACTACTTTAGCCTGTTCTGGAATACATGTAGACTAGGTAAACACATTTTCTGCATCCATAAAATACAGATGACCTACTTCATTTGCCATAATGTGCAGTATCCCAAAATGCACACTGCACAGACTCTCAATGCAATGCATTTAACTTGACCTTCTGTGCCAAAAAAAAAGCTATAAATAATTACAGCCAAGATTAATTTTTTTACATCTTTGTTTACTCATTACTTGTCCTAATTCATATTTTTGCATTGTTTTTCAGTAAATAAATACATGAATAAACAACTTACTGGCCATTTTTTCCTTGTCTAAAAAAATAATTATTTGATAAATGTAGTGAGGAAAAATAAATAAAGATTTGTAAAGATTTTTTTTGAAGTGCATCATTTCAACAAACAATAATTCTCCATTGTTCCGGAACAAAAGAGCTTGATTATGCTTCATTAGGAATGGATAATTAAGGATGAATTAGTCAAGCTTAATTATGGATACAATAGATTTACACATAAATATGCACACACACTAAAACCTTGTCACCTTGCAAGACATTTTTTTTTATATTGAATGATTTATTAATGTGTTATTGTAAGAACATAAACTTTTCACTTATGAACGATCATAGCTTTAATATTACAAGCCTACAAGGCTGTGGCACTCATTGTAACTGGCGTGACCCTACACAGAATCGTCTCGCAAGCTCAAGAGCCCATTTGAGGGTTGAAATTGAATTTGCCTCTATGATTAGAAATGTCAGAGTGATGAAACGGCGTACAACTGCCGGAGGTTAAACATGGGAGACATCATTAAAGAAACAGACGCCAGCTTATTCTTCATTAATGGAGACAGAAAAAGAAAGGGAGAAGTAAGAGAGCGAGAGCGAGTTAGAGGAGAAGGATTTCTATGTATGCTTTGCCATGTTTGAGAGGCTGCTGGGCTAATTTGACATTTGAACATTTACTGCACCTCATTAAAACTGCTCACAGCTTATTAACCTGTCTGCTGACTGGATAGATGGACCACACATTCCTCATTGTCATTCTACTATCATTCACTCACCCAAAACCACTTTTACTGAAGTATTTTCCTGAATCAGCATCCTTTGTTGTTCCTGAGGGCAATATTTCTATTTAGCCAATCTCAGCCCTTCCTGTAACCCCACCCCCAAAATTAGAAAGCAATGATTGGTTGCGTGTTCCAAGTGTTGGTCCAGGAACTGTAACTAACACAAATAGTAACGTATCGTACTTGTTTCCGTCTCATTTAATGGTTCTTTATACATACTGTATAACAACACCTAAAAGCACTATACCTTCAAAATGATTAACAGCACACAAAATCCAAAACCTGAAAACACCCCACTGATACAATGGGTGTGTCCAAAACAGAAGATATTCCAAATTTCCAGTTTCACTATAAAATACATCAACATACAGTAGGAAAGAAAACTGCAATTGTCAAGTGAATTTATGAGGTCTTTTTAAGGTTTCAGTCCTTATACCATTACCTTCAACCACTTCATCAGGTCCTTTTTTCTTTCAACCCATCACATAATTATTGGATATTATACTGTAGCCAACAAAAGCTACATGGATTATTAATAATGCACCAATGTTTTTGAAAAAGAAACATCTAAACTGAATATGACTGTTTCAAATCCAACCATAGTCGATATTAATCAGATATAGAATACTGTAATATAGGAACTTGCATCTGCACAAAAGGACGCAAATGCACAAGTGAACTTGACCGTGCTGGTCAGAATGTGTACCGTAACAACAGGCTAGAAAAATGGTCAATTAAGGCACAAAGAATTTACAATATATAGTTCAATAGTGTTCTCATTTTAATGTTATGTATGTGACAGTTTAACAAAGTTAAAGTAATGATTATTCAAAATTTATGACAATATTGTTATCGTGCATTCTATTGCCGACAATAATCATTGTGAAGTTCTCTATTTTGGACGCAGCCAATAATCAGACACATAGCACAGCCTGTGTAATTAGATTTTCTTAATGATGAGGCAACACCAAAAATCTACTTGATATTACAATCAGCAAAATAAAGCGTAATTGGGTTACTCACGGTCATTGCACTGGGTGCCAGAGTAAGAGGTCATGGAGCAGTCGCAGGTGAAGTTCTCCCACTGCTGGATGCATACACCCATGTTGACACACGAATCCTCCTGGCATGTAGTGCTGGGCCCTGATATGGAGGAGACAGGAATATCATGTGTTAATAGTAATGACAGATTTCAGCAGGCATCTCTGTCACACACAGCACAGCAAGACTAGCGTGCATGCAAGGTCATGCAAGGCCACGCTGAACACTGCTAGAAGAAAAAAAGGTGATATGCAATGTGACTGCACCATCTACACAGATTTCTATTTTCAAAATGTGTGTTCACATTCCACACTTCATAATAGACAATTACTGAATCTTTAAGAGGGAATGCAAACAATTATGTTTACACTCTATCAAGATTAATTAAAATAGAATTATTAAAACCATACTGACATGTCAATTCCAGCAGCTCAGATCACCGATAAAAGAAACCAAGCATGCATTCAAAACAAGAGCAAAGCCCTGAGTGCGGATGTATGAAAGTCTCCACTGGCTGAAAGTGCTTTTATTGAGTCTGGGAAGCAATGGAAGAATTCTTTCTTTTCTCTTGCTGGTTTCCGTCTCTAATTATTCCCCAACTGAACCCCTCTTGGATGCTTTCAACACAATATAAATGAGTAATTGCCAAAACATCCATTAAAATGCTTCAGAAGGGGAGAGAATTGTGGCCAATTGCTGTAGAACAGCGGGACACTAGACAATGTCTCAATTTTGATGTGCCTTCAGTGGAAAGCTTTAAGCTGGAATGTTCTTTAAGGAGGATATTTATAGGTTTTGTATTTATTCTTAGTTCCCCTCAGCTACTGCATGTGTCAGCTGTGGACTAAATGAAATGGGCATCTACAAAATATATGTACAAAATACTGCAACATTCTATAATTGTATGTTATAGATTTCTGGGGGATAGTTGTTTTCTGGAGGAACATTAATGTAAAAGCTCATTGCAACTTTCAGCCAGGTGTGTGTGTGTGTGTGTGTGTGTGTGAGAGGTGAAAAAGTCAAACCCTCTACCTTGCAGGTCAGCTTTGGTGAAACCAACTTTGTTAGCAGGAAATTTAAGAAAGAATTGGATAACAAAACAAGGTTGGTTAGTGGAGGGAAGGTCAGTCAAGAGAGAGGAAAATGTGTGTGTGAAGGATAATGATAGAGTAACCTGGGCAATAACATTAGTAAGTTGGAAAGGAAAATGATGAAATTAGATATTTTAGACTAATAGGGCAATTTTTAAATTATATTCTACTGTTAAACAAATGTATCTCATTCAAATCTTTAATAACACATAATCTGTGTCTATATTGTACGTGATTGGTAACAGTTAAAATGGAATGCTGTTAACAGGCCCTTGGTCAAGGCGCCATCTAGTGGTTAAAGGGCATCTCGTATTAGCAAAACAGAGAATACCCAGAATTCCAGTGAGGCACAAAAATCTAACTAAAATATAAGTAAAAGACAAAGATTAGCGAGAAAAACAATAGGTGCAGAGGTTAAATCAGGTTTGAATTTAATGGTTTAAACACAGCAGTGTGTCAGGGATTGGTAGAGATTTAGGTTGAGGTGTGATAAATGGCTTATACTGTACCTTCACAGCCACGTTCGACCTGCCCACTGCGGAACAGAGAATCATTGATGAGGTCAGGCAGACGGCCGTTGAGATCCATGGAAGCTAAGCAGCCCTGGAAACCCTCACGAGACACCACCAGTTTCGGCAGGTTCTGGTACATGTTTGGTCCCAAACCAGCCACAAACAGATCACCTGCAAAGAGTGAAAAAAGATAATATAACTTTGAATTGCTTCAATTACTTTGGCAATTACATTTTTTCTTGTTTTACGTATACATCTAATCATATATAGTGAGGTTTATGTGCTCAGTATACAAAATTTTCTGTTTGCTTAAATGTACTAATCTGGTTTTGTTTTAAAGGTATAAAATCAATCAAAAATATAATAAAAAATGTCACTAAAAAGGTTAAGCGAATCTTGTATGGCTGACCTTTCAGGTCCAGATTTTTCGCTCCGTTGACCACCTGGCTGACAGACTTGGCGTCCACCTTTAGTGTGTGTGTGTTGCTGGCATCTCGAGTGATCACCACATTGTGCCACTGGTTGTCATTAAGAGGACTGTCGCTGTTACCTTTGAGAAGACTCGGTCCATTTCCCAGGTCAAACACATAGTGAATATACCTGACAAACATACAAACACACATGCACACTGAGCTCAAATGTGTTCATGTCCCAAATCCATTCAAGTGCACTTCACTGAAGAACACTCAGCTAAAGCACATACTGAAGCAAACTCAGCAGATCAGAAGATCAGATGACAATGAGAGTGGAAACTTGTTTTAAAGAGGAACAGGTTTTATGTTCTGCTAGAGGATAGGCCAAGTGGCTCGGTCTGTTTGGATGGACAAGGCTAACTTTGCTTCTACATTCACACCTGGGGCCCAGGTCAAGAAGCAGACAAACTGACTAAACCGACCGTCTGCTGGCCACCTCACGTCGCAGAAGTCAGTTAATTCTCAGCACACAGAGACTATTTCACCTACTGTAGATATAATACTATAGAGACTGTCTGTTCCCCGAACTAGCAAATACAAAACATGTCCAAACCAATTTAAGGGTAACAATTTAATTGATGTTCAATAAATAAAAAAACGACATAATACAGATAAACAAATGATAAAGCTTGGCTTAAATAATACTAGATCCCTTTCTATAAAAGCGCTTTTTTTTTTAAATGATATGATCACATATCATAACCTAGATGTGCTCTGTTTGACAGAAACCTGGCTAAAACCAGAAGATTACATTACTTTAAATGAGTCTACCCCCAAGATTACTGTTATAAACATGAGCCACATCCAAAAGGTAAAGGGGGTCATGTTACTAAAATTTATAGTAATATTTTCAGTATTTCTCAGAGGTCTAGTTTCAAGTATAATTTGTTTGAAGTAATGGTGCTTCATATAACATTATCTAGAGTAATAAGCGTTAATGATAAAAACCCCTGTGACGTTTGTACTTGCTACTGTATACAGGCCACCAGGGCACCATGCAGACTTTATCAAATAATTTGCTGATTTTAGTTTTTTGCTGAATTAGTCCTGACTGCAGATAAAGTCTTAATTGTTGGTGATTTTAATATCCATGTTGATAATGAAAAAGATGCATTGGGATCAGCATTTATAGACACTGAAATTAACTCTTTTTCTAGCACATTAGATACATTTGCTCCTTTATGCTTAAAGAAGACTAAGGAAAACAGTCCGACACCGTGGTATGATGAGCACACTTGCGCCCTAAAGAGAGCTGCCCGGAAAATGAAGTGCAGCTGGAAGAAAACAATACTAGAGGTATTTCGTCTTGCATGGAGGGAAAATACTTCTACTTTCAGAAAAGCTCTAAAAATCAGTAGATCTGCTTACTTTTCATCTCTTTTAGAAGAAAACAAACACAACCCCATGCATTTATTCAATTCAGTGGCTAAATTAATGACAAATAAAGCTTCAACAGGTGCAGACATTTCCCAAAAGCACAGCAATAATGACTTTATGAACTTCTTTACTTCCATGATCGATACTATTAGAGATACAATTCTAACCATACAGGCGTCAGCTACAGTATCACATCAGACAGTGAACTACAAATCCCCTGGGGAACAATTTCACTCATTATGTGCTATAGTAGAGGAAGAATTGTATAAACTTCATCAAAGTCAACAACATGTATGTTAGACCCTATTCCATCTAAGCTACTAAAAGAGGTGCTTCCAGAAGTCATAGATCCTCTTCTGAATATAATTAATTCACCAGTGTCATTTGGATATGTACCAAAATCCTTCAAACTGGCTGTTATTAAGCCTCTAATTTAAAAAACACAACTTGATCCTAGATAATTAGTTAATTACAGACCTGTAATTGATCTCAAATCTCCATTTTCTGTCAAAGATACTAGAAAAGGCAGTAACCTCAGAACTATGTCCCTTCTTAGAGAGAAATTGAATCTGTGATGATTTCTAGTCAGGATTTAGACCTTATCATAGTACTGAGACTGCTCTCATCAGAGTTACAAATTACCTGAACTTATCATCTGATCGTGGTTGTATCTCTCTATTAGTGCTACTGGATTTTAGCGCTTCGGTTGACACTATTGACCACAACATTCTTTTGAATAGACTACAAAATTATGTTGGCATTAGTGGAACTGCATTGGCATGGTTCAAATCTTACTTATCTGACCATCATCAATTCATAACAGTGAATGAAGAGGTATCATATCAATCACAAGTACAGTATGGAGTACCACAGGGCTCAGTACTAGTACCGCTGCTTTTCACGCTTTACATGTTACCCTTGGGAGATATCATCAGGATACATGGTGTTAACTTTCACTGTTATGCTGATGCTACTCAGCTCTATATTTCTTCGTGGCCCGACAAAACATACCAATTCGCAAAAAAACAAAAAGAAAGCATAGTTGATATAAAAAACTGGATGGCTAGTAATTTCCTACTGCTAAATTCTGAAGAAAAAAAACAAAAAAAAACGGGGGTGTTAATTATTGGACCAAAAACCTCTGCATGTAATAACCTAAAACACTGTCTAACACTTGATGGCTGCTCCAAACTCTGGAACAATACCTAGCGTTGTTCTGGAGGCAGACACACTCTGTCAGTTTAAATCTAGATTAAAGACCCATCTCTTTAACCTGACATACACATAATACACTATCACATTTCTATAATTCAAATCCATTTAAGGATTGTTAGGCTGCATTAATTAGGTCAACCGGAACTGGGAACACTTTCCGATGTACTCATTACATCGTAAGAAGAATGGCATCTACTATTAGTCTGTTTCATTCTCATTCCGAGGTCACTATAGCCACCCGGATCCAGTCCGTTTCCAGACCAGATGGTGGATCAGCACCTAGAGACGAACTCTACAGCCTGAATGTCAGCGGAGACCATGTCAACTAGAAGAGCCCCAGAGACAGATCCCATGCAAAGACTTCGTCAACTAGACGGCGATCAGGACAAGACTAAGGTAACCAGATGAGCACTCTTCACAATCTGACTTGTATTGCAGCCTGGAATTTAAACACATCATGCTGGTTTCATCTGGCCAGAGGAGAACTGGCCCCCCAACTGAGCCTGGTTTCTCCCCGTTTTCTTTTTTATCCCTCCATTTCTGTCACCAATGGAGTTTTGGTTCCTTTGGCCTTTGGCTTGCTTATTCGGGGACACTACATTTCTGGCAATACTGTCAGCTTGATTGATCAACCACTATTGGAAGAGAGCTGAACTGGATGCTGACATCACTGAATCAACAATGAAATGACTTTAACTGAAACATTGACTGTTTTGTTATTGTCCTCTTGAATTACTGACAAACTATTCTCCTGTCTAACACTGTAAAGCTGCTTTGACACAATCTGTATTGTATAAAGCGCTATATAAAAAAAGGTGACTTGACTTGACTTGACAAGTGTGCTCCCAGCTACCAAGTATTTGGTTTCAATACTTGTTTGTTTGTTTCATTTACCCTTAGTTTATACTAAGAATATAATGCTAGAATCATCTAATATTTGGCAAGGGTAAATTATCTGTTGTGGAAGAATTGTGTCAGCCTTACACAATATCTTACACTGAAGAAAACATAAAGAGTGAAATATTTAGCAGGAAATAATGGAGGATGGGACGCCATCTGGATTTGACTGAATAAATTGGGTTATGATCAGTATTATTTGATTTTACTGGGTCAACATTATTGTTCCTCTGCCTGCACAGTCCTGATTACACCAACAAAAAAAGCATTATTACACTTTGATAAAGATTGTCAAAACAAATCGATTGAATTGTGCACAACTGGACATTACTTCAAACATTTTACTTTACATTATGATTCTCTCCACATTAAAATTTGGTCTGATTTTCTTGCATTTTAAACATACCAGTATAACCTCTTTGGTAATCAGTAATAGATAATAAATGTTGTTTCTGAATGTATCAACATTAATAATAAATGAACATGTATATCAACATTAATAATAAAAGTACAGCTTAATGGGGTTGGCTAATTCAAAAAATTCAAATAAATCTGAATTCAAAACTGAATTTCAAACTTTTCATTTTAAAAATCTTATATTATGTTCTTATATTAAGTCTCGAGAAGCCTCTGGAAACTAAGGTAAAAATCTCTGTAATAGAACATTTTCACAGTGCTTTTGTGTACTTGCATGTTGTTTCAAAGACACAATGGATCAAATGTTTTAAATCTGTTTTAAATTAGTGCTTGTTTTGGTCACCTTCAAGAGTATTATCACATGCTCATAATACTCAAAAAGATATTCACAAGTCGCCACCTGCTGGTGTGAACAGATTTAAAAGATTTGTGTCACTGGGATAAAACAAAATACCCAGTACAAGCTGTTCTCTACCCAAAAATGTAATGATGCAAATTACAGCAAGACTCAGTTAATTAATCAGTCAGAAAATCTGAATAAATCTTTTTGGTGAACATACCTGTATTAATATATACATTACTGGAATAAATCAAATTCCCCACCATTAGCTGTTCAATGTATTCTGGGGTGTGTAGTAGTTTGGTAATCTTGAAAATGAACACACTTACGGTGGACATGTCTCAGCCTGAGTGAAACTGACTTCCAACACCCCAGAATGGGCTCTATATGGGGCCAACTCCCAACCTTTCCTGTCAACCTCAATAAAATGGCCATTTGGTAAAACCTGGATTCTGTGGGAACTTTGTTGACTTGGAGCTCTCTACTTCCACTCACCCTTTGACAAGCTCCACGGCAATAAAATCATTCCCATCTCCACTGTTGAAGAGAATGAATCCATCACCCGAGGTAGTTTTGAACTGAAAGAAGAGGTGCATGGTGCTATAAGCCTGGAGTGTAGCAAGACCCAGATAGCTTCCTTTGGTCTTGAAGGTAACTGGATCGGCCACAATGGAGCGCATGCCAAAACGAGCATTCAGCTCGCAGAATTCGATGTCCCCATTCTTGCACATGTCAATGTAGAGGAGGCTGTTGAACTTTAGGCCTTGCAGGTGACCAATGAAGTTGGATGGAGCTGTGGAGGCAAACCGACGTTCTGTCAGGATTCCGGTCTCAATGTTACTAAACTCCAGCCGAGTGTGGTCACCATTCATCTGACCTGTGAAAGAAGAACAGGAGGTCGTGGTAAAGTGATTAGTAAGTGATGGATTAATGCATTACATGGGGTCAGCTGCTGAAAAGCTGTTCTGGAAAGATTATACTGCATTCATACCTTCAGCTACATCATCATCCACCATGAGTTTGAGGTTTTTACCACGCCGCATCACTTTGACTGAGTGCCAATCATTGTCGTTCACTTTCTGGCCAGCATACAATGTCTCTGGTCCTTTACCTGAGAATGATGTGTGTCAGTTAGTGTTTACACACACTAGCCCTGCAAATCAAATTTCTGGCTTCTCAACATTTTAATAAATCATATCATGTGCAAAAAAATGTGGTTTAAATTTTCAAACTTCTGTCATCAAGATGATAGACGGCAAAAATGGTTTTACATATTATAATTGCGGTGCATCAATAGTTCCTAGGAAAATCAACATTTTTAAAAAAACATGAAACAGAACTAAGGTTTGGCTGAGGTATATGTTGAATACTGTAGCTTATTCATACCACAGAAATGGTAAGTACACTAGTATGCTAGTAATTCATTCCAAACACAGTCGTGACATTTATTTTTTAAGGGCGCATTGTCATACAAATACTTAGTCTGCACTAACAGAAGTACCGGTTGAGAACACTGATTGTTGTACTGATTTACTGGTGCCATTAACATAACCTGCTCAAATATACTGAGTCTTTAAACTTCAAATTATAGAGCACGAGGCAAAGTGCCTCTCTAAAAGCATTGTAGAATTAAAATGGTTAATCAGTACTAAATTACCACTTACTTTTCAGCCATTCTGCTGTTAATTGAAGAACATGCTTAATAAACAAAAACCTTTAATTGACTCCAAAAAGCTACAGAGATGACTCTCTAAATGACCTGACCTGTGTGTTTATATACATCTAGAAAAGCAAGAGAGTATAGTTTTTATAGTTTAAAATGGTGAGGTATTACACCACATTATTAAAAGTCCCATCAGGATTTGATTTATAAATTTGCATTTCACCATCATTTATAGAGAAATACAAAGTCGTTTTATATCATTTATTGATAAATAAGAGTCACAGCCATATAGAATTGGTGTGTGTGTGTGTGTGTGTGTGTGTGTTTTGCTTTTATTTTAATCAACAAATCAATCACAAAAAATAGGCATCTCTGTTAAGATATATAATAAATAGATGATAGATAGATAGATAGATAGACAGATGATAGATAGATGATAGATAGATAGAATAAATAACATCATACATTTTTATAAATATAACCATGTAAAACATATTTAATGGTGTTAAATATCTTTCATTACTATTGAGTTAACAACATAAAGCCCTTTATATACACAGCCTCACATTCTTCGGTTGTAGTCAGGTAAGATGGTTCTATATTGTTAATTATTACTATTTTAACTCTTCCCTGAGTACTGTCAGTTCAGTGGCTTTTACAATTTTTTAGAGTCAATTTTCAGAGTTTAAAATCACAGCATGGTCATGTGGTGCTACCTGTTACTTTTCTAACCACTTATTCAGGATGGGCAAATCACTGTTGTTTGTAAATACGGGACCTTTATTATTCTTATTCTTATTCTTATTCTTATATAAATCATTATTGTTATTTAAATCAATTCAAAGAGATTGCTGGGATGAGCACACAAGTGCCCTCGAGGAAGACAACTTTGATTCACACAGAAAACTGTTATCAAACTGTTACTTTAGTGGAGTGCAGCGGTAACCACCCACATTTTTTTTCATATTAATTTTCTCTATAGAGAAGAAAAACATATTCAAAGTTGTGTCAAGTCATGAACCAAACCAAGCAGCTCCAAAATGAATTACATTACAACATTTGATTTGAAGCAAAAAAAGCAAGTGAAAATTATTAAAAATAAATAAATAAAAAAGGTGCAAGACTGTGTACACACATAAATATGTAAGTATACATATAGTAGAAGTATGTATGTAAGTATATTGAATCAGAAACCATAGTACAATATAGGATAAAGACAAAATAAATACAAATATAATTAGATTAACAATATAGAAATTCTAACTTCAAATTTGCAATATGAGAGTAGACGGTCACAGCTGAGCCAAATTTTGCAGCAGTTTCCTTTTGATGTTAACTACAATTTATCAGAATAATTTGTTACTGAATTTGAAATCACACTGATTTGTGGCTTCTACAGAAGCATATTTCAAAATGTAACATCCTCAGAGCTTATGGTAGATCTGTATTCATTTGACTAAAATCATTTCTCTGTGGAGAAAAGGAATGGGATTTTTCTTCTGGAACCTGAATCAATAATAATAATTATTATTTAATAATTATTATAATATATACTACTACTAATAATTTAAAATAGTCATAAAATATCTTAAACCTACAAATCTCTGATGAAGAAGGGGATGATAAACTAGAGACTTTTAGATGAGTAAAAGCAGTTATACTTTTTCAGAGGAGCATTACAAAATCTTTAAAACAGCATTATTTAAAAATGCTTAAATATTAACATTTAACAGCTTGTAAAACATGGACATGGATCAAAAGTTTGGACTTTATCCTTATTTATCCTTGTCCTTAAAAAACCCTTTGATTTCAAGGCTTAGGCTTAAATTAAATGAAAACACTAAAACTGAAATTTAAAATTTAAAGAAAATTTGAGTGGTGAATTCAAAATTTCGAGCACATATGAGAAGTCATTCAGTGCTGTTAAAAGCATCTTAAAGGGGTCATATGATGCGATTTCATTTTTTCCTTTCTCTTTAGAGTGTTACAAGCTCTTGGTGCATAAAGAAGATCTGTAAAGTTGCAAAGACTAAAGTCTCAAATCCAAAGAGATATTCTTTATAAAAGTTAAGAGTTAGCCACACCTACCTAAAACGGCTCGTTCGAACCTGCTGAGGCACGGAAGAGAATGAGCTCGTGGGGATCGCAGGTGGATCTGGCCGATGAGTTTGGAGAGGGGTTTCCCTTTCGCGATCATCGGCTGTGCACGAGAGTGAGCCACTGGAGGATGATGTTATTTCATTAACATTATCTGATTCAGGGGACAGTGCTCTGCTGGGATCACCCCTGCAAAAACAGGAAATGTCTGTGGAGGGCAAAGAAGCTGAGGCTGAGCCTTCCCAATCCTCCTGCCCTGCGTATGATGAGTTTTTGGAAATTATGGATCGCGCCACGGCGAGGCTTTACTTGCCGTGAAGCGGGTGAAGAAAGTGACGTCGCGAAGTATTTCGATGAACGTTATTTTTCTGGCATAACCCTCCAGCTCAGGTGAGCCTTCCTTTCTTCCTCTTTTCCATATAAAGATTGAGAAGGAATGGAAGAGGCCGTTTTTCCCCTACTCAGGGAACCATGGTTACATAAGTAACCTGAGACGTAATGCATGATGGTCACAGACTCCGATTTTTTTTTTAGCTTCAGACTATGATTACATCCCGTCGGAGGATATCATACATGTTCGATATTTTCAGCAGATTTTAGGACACATATTCAGTGTTGCCAACTTAGCGACTCTGTGAATATTGCAAAGTCGGTAAGTGTATGATGCCCAGTGTTTTAAATCTGTTCTGATTTTAAAAGTTGTGTAGTGTATTCCAGCCTTTAGGATGCACCTCTTAGAGCTTGCTAATAGTGTTCAGAAGAATGTTCAGAGCTGTAATCTAGGCAGAGTGATGACTTAGAAGAAATTCAATTATAAAATAGTTTTGATTTATTTAACATTTGCCATACTTCTATTTTTGTTATTTCATAGCTTGATGACTTTACTGTTAATCTAACCCAGGTTTTCCCTAATGGGGGTTAGCAAACCCTTGGGGGTCCGTGAAGGAACTCCAGGGAGTTCGTGAGTATATGAAAAGCTAATATTTAGATTTAAAGGGGTCATATGATGCGATTTCAAGTTTTCCTTTCTCTTTGGAGTGTTACAAGCTGTTCGTGAATAGATAAGATCCCTAAAGTTGCAAAGACTAAAGTCTCAAACCCAAAGAGATATTACTTATAAAAGTTAAGACTCGTCCACGTCCTCCTAAAACGCCTCGTTATAAACACATTTCATTACACCAAATACACAAAATAATGTTATTTTTAGCAATGTCATGACCCCTTTAATTTAATATTAAAATCAATAAATCAATATATAATATATAGCTTATAGTGATGTGTGAAATCTTGATGCGGTTATCAAATCAAAGACTGCGATTTAATTAATTAAGTACTGTCATTAACTGCTTCTCACAAACTCCATGTCTGTATGAGCAGTGAGTTTAATGAGCATTGGGGATGTATTTTCAACATAGTGCACAGATGTTTACAGCATTTCACCAGCAACCCACCAGTATAAAAGCTCAAAGATTTGAATGTTTGAAAGTGAAGAATTTAAAACATAAATTAAAACGTATTGTAATTATACTATTGTAAAATCATTGTTAAGCCTACAATTATCAAATATTAAAGAAATTAATTGATTGAATTTATTATTGAATATGTATATATATATATATATATATATATATATATAAAATTTACATTAGTAAATATTTCATCTGTTTTACCTGTCATGTGACCACTAAGCAAAATTAGAGAACCATGAACATGCAAAAGTGTTGTTTAACTATTGAAATAATAACTGAAGTAAAAATTTTTGGCTGACAAGAACCCCTTATCTACTCTATTAAAAATAATAATAAAAAATGGGTAGAATGAGTCCAAACGTTTATCTGGTAGTACAGGTTAGCAACACTGTTTAAGAAATAAGCTAAAACTTTGACCGTCTGTGGGAAATAAACCTCAATTTCATTAGCTAATGTCTGTGTTTATGTAGAACAAACTGAGTAAAAACTTACTGGTGTTACAGTTTATCCTGCCACAGTCTAGATGGGGAAGAACAAGTGACAGATGAAATCGCGTCCTTCAAGGATAAAGCTGCAGACATCCAACAACAGAAACACCACCTTCCGGGGATGAGCACATGGAGCAGCAGCCATTTTGGATCATTTCCAACATCCGTTTTATCATTCCGGCCAGTAGGTTTGATATAATATATCTTTTTCTTTTTTTGTAGATTTTATTTTATATGTAGATTTATATTTTTAGTATTTAATTTATATAGTAGTAATCCATATAAAATGGCTGCCTGCTCTAAGCCAAAAGGATTCATCAACTTCGGTATTCTTTATCTTTCTTTCTTTTCTTTTTTCTTTTATGAATTATCATCTTATTGGTCAAGGCACGAACTGTATGCATTTCACAGAGAACTGCAGATTTTCTTATGACAATTGGAACTGTCATCCAGGTTGGAATCCATATGGCCATTTTTATCATGTGCCATCAACCGCAACAGAAAAGTGGGAGCAAACAGCCTTGGTCCAAAATGCATTAGCACCACACAGACTTGTAGCATGTACTTCATAAAAAAAAACAGACAGACTGAATGTTCTGATTGTTATTTATGCTAAGTGCATAAATGGAAAATGTCACATTTTAGCACTGAAACTGCAACTAATAAAATAATTTAGTAAATTGAAGTTACTTGAATTTACTGAAATCACTATCATTTTAATGTTGCAACATGTATAAGATGCTGATCATCTGGCCCTTTCTTGTGACATAGTGAGCTTATGGTTTGATATTAGTAAAAATGACTGTGTGTGTTTTGTGGGTGATGCTTTGGCCACCAGCTGCAGGTGTGCTGGATGCTCTGGTCTCAGGCTGTTTGCTTACAGGGCCGCAGGCTAAAGGCCATTGAAGGGGTGAGTACCATCTTTGAACAAGGCATGATAAATGCCGTTAAGAGCGAGGGATGGGAATGGGTAGATATTTTCCTGATAACGTGACAAAAATAGTTATACAGAAACATGCATAACTGATTGTTAAACCGATCTTACCATATGAACAGAGCAGACACAAATACAGAAAAAATATCACAAAGAAACAGTCCTGTTTATAGCATATAATCTAGGGCTGGTGGTACATTAAACTGTCATGTATTATTTTTTTTAAGTAAATCAATTGCCATGTATAAGAATGACTGGTGCAGATGTGGTGCTTCGATCATGAGGTCAGAGGTTACATGAGACAATGATGAGAGAGCTCATCTGTCCACATCACCCGCAGACAAAGCAAGAGAATGAAAAGCAAACAGGAGCAATCCATGCAGATCAACAAAACAATAATAATTTAGCTGTAGTGTTAGAAAGATGATAACATCCAGTAACTGGCACATATAAGAAATAACCGAAGACGACGAGGAAAAGAGGGACAGAGAGAGAAATACGGCAGAATACGATACCTAAATGGACGGTCAGTTTGACACGGCCGCTGTCCAGTTCTAGTCGTAGTGTGTCTGCGGACTCACGTGATGTGGCAGCCATCAACAGGCCAAAGGCACGCTGGGACATAAACCTCAGAGACACATCCTCTGCTTCTGTATGTATTACCATCGGCATCACCACCTTCATATACATACTGCCATCGTAGCTTAGGATAGATGCCTCTGTATAGAAAACAGACACACAAAACACATAAAAAATATTAAACCTAGACCTCAAAAATAGTACTTTCACTGGACCTATTTACAATTCAAATGTGTTCAATGAGTCCTTCACACGGAGTTCAAAATATCAAACTCCAACTAGATGAGAAAAGTTTTGATATGAAAACAGCCTTATGAATGTGTTTCATGTTATTTAGTCACATCACAAATTGTTTAGTGGCTTTTACACATTTTAAGAACAAGCAACATATTATAAAATATACATATACAGTTGTGTTTGTAATGAAAATGGGCCAGAGTACTATAGAGAACAATTTACAGATCAAAAGTGGGTGGAAAATTGTCATGAAAAATCAAATGATGACATGAAATAACTAAAAAAAGACTAAAACATATATGACCCCTTTAACAGAAATTAAATGCACACACACACACACACACACAGCAAAGTCCTCCATTCTTCCTTTACTAGTACTGTAGTGGAACAAATACATTGCATCGTTTTAAATGCCCTTCTTAATTGTTCTTATAACATGCTACAGATGTCTTAATGCAACACTATCACATATATCCCTTTTTAGGGAACTCCACACTGCGTCCCCTAGGGGACACAATGGGGAATGCCATCAGCATGGCTGGTGTCTAAAGCATGTGGGAAACACTTCCAAATCTTAGGATCACGCAGCCCGTGACATCATTACCAGAGTGCCCAGAGTATAAAAGGGCACCTGTAATGCACGTCATCAGCTTTTTTGTCTTCAGGAGCCGTTTGTTTGTTCAGCGTGTGTGAAGCACTATGGAGAGCAAAAAGCCGAGCGAGCATTTTAGGAAATGTGTGCCTCCGTGTTCGAGATATTTGACACCTGAGGACACACATGACCTTTGCATTACGTGTCTCTGCGACGAGCACGCGAGCACTGAACGCATTCATTGCGATAAATTTCCAATGAGGAAGCTCCGCTCTCGCCTGTCCCTATTCACGTGGGATACGGGACATCTCGCAGCTCGGGTCCCGCTGCTGCCGATGCACGGCGGAAACTCGCGTTGTGAGGTTCGCAGGTCGAGCTTGCGGAGAAGCTTGAAATGGAACTGGATCTCTCTAGAGCTTTGACCACGAGCTCGAGTGATCGGTGGGAACTGGATGCTATTTCTCTTGGGTCTTCCAACATGCAGATTATGCTAATGTGGAGGGATTAGCTGAGTCCGGATATGATGCCCCATGTGGAAGAGACGCTCACGGGCTATCTCTTCCAGGGTGAGTCATCTTCATTGAAGGCTCCTGTCCTGCCATCCAGGCAGCTTCAGACCACCTTGTGTCTAAAAGACAGGGCGTATGCGGCAGCGGGTCATG